CAAATACCCCAAAGTTTATTTTGATTGACTATATTTAGATACTAGATGATAATCCGCACTATGTGCGGGATGAGCTTTTTAAAAATACTAGGTGGAGGCACACCTGTGCGGACATTAATATAATTTATACATTGTATGAATAAAAAATAATATAACTATATATATATATTGTAACTTTCTTTCTCTTTTACATAGATACTCTATTTTAAAATATATTTTTCTATCTTACTCATTTCGTTTCTCCTTGTATTTTTCACACATTCGTTTTGTTTCTTATGTATCTCTCTTTGCATTATTTTTATGTCTTTGTACATTTCTCTCGCTCTCTTTTTATTTCTCTCTCTCTCTCTCTTAGTTGATCAAATAATCTCAAAATCTCTCAAACTTACATTCACTCTCTCATAATCACCTATATTCATTCTCTTACTCTCGTCCTTAATAAGATCCTCAACAATTCACTTTAAAACTCTTTCTATCTCTCTTTGGTTGCAAAATGCAAAATTTTCACCAGATTTTGTTAAATCTTCAAAACACTTTCACATAGTATTAACAAATTATTTCAGAATCTAGCTCACTTATATTTAGTCTCTCACTTATATTCACTTTCATCTTCATTATGATCATAACCGACTCTCTAATCCCTTTTATCACCATATCTCCCTCTCTTTCTCCCTTTCTTACATATTTTTTATTTAGAATTTAATATAAAATCACAATTGGCTAACCAAATAAATTGATTATCAATTTCTCTCCAATCTTCACACTATCTTATCAAACATTGATTCCTTTGACCAAGATTTTCATTGAAAAAATAAATATCTTATTATTAATTTTGTTTTTTTAATTACTTCATTACATACATATTTTAAGAAAATCTAAATAACAGTATTTCAAAAAAGTAAATTTGATTAAAAATTATATAACATAAAATATCTTAATTCTTAAATGATGTGATGTCATTATTTTAGACATAGATTAATATAAACATGAGATTCAACTGTTTTAATATATCAAAATAACATGTTTCTAGTTGTTTAAATTTTGTTATAACTTTGTTATCATATATTTTTAAATTTTATTACACCGCAAAAAAATGCTTATCATTATTTTAAAATAATTTATTTTAAAAATAATTTGCGTTATAGTCTGCATCTTCAACATTAACAATTTTATAACTTATCATTTATACTTGTCTTCCTTGCTCAATTTTTCTTTATGTTGTATAAACACCTAAAAATAATTAGTTTAAAATTATATTAATATGTAAAAAATATTTTGGTACAAATACAAAACAACGAAGAATACAACAAAAGGTTTTATTATTATTCACTCATGTTTTTATTTATGTCTCTTTTCTTTTTTTCTTATTAAAAATAAACATTCCAATTTTATTATACTTAAAGCTATATGAATTATATGAATAGAATATTAACTCTAGTCTTGTATTACTATAAAGTTTTGATATTTTATAATTTTATATTATAATAAACTTTTTCATTTATTCATATTTTTTTTAAACTGACATACCATATAATTTTCTGTTTTAAATATAAAAATACTTAAATAATTTTTGAAAGTGATAACTCAACTATCGACATTTATCTCTGGAAAATGATAGAATTTTTTAAAATTTTTACATTTGACTGTTTTGCATTCATTGAACATATTTTAAGAATACATATATATAGTGAGTGAGTATAAAAATATTATTAGTTTTCTGTGATGTATGATTTTTTATCCGCTATTAATAGAAAAAAATTTAAAATCGTTTATATACTTATTTCTATAATATAATATGTATTTATATGTATATTCTAATTTTTATAATGAAATATGTGATATTTAATTGTTTCTATAAAAAAATTCTATTAATCCTATGTATTTAAGATGTTTAATTGTTTGTGTGGTAATATATATTAGATTAGGTAATTCTAGGATTAGTTTCCTTTTAAAAAACTTTAATTAAATAAATAAAAATTCAAATGCCAACAACCAATCAAATTAAGAGAATTATTTATACATTGCACCTATGAATGACACGTAAGCAAAATTCATTAAAGTGACTTTTAATATATAGGGGGATGCTATATTTAAATATATATTTTTCCATCGATAACATTTTTTTACATTTAATTAGGGATGGCATTTGGGTACCATTTGGTTCGGTTAGATTATGTTTTGTTTAGATATTTGCGATTTGGTTCGAATTTTTTGCAGGTTCAGGTTGAGTTTAGGTTCGAATAACCCATTTAATTTTTAATAAAAAAAATAAAATTCATACATACTTCTAATTTTTCAAAATATAAAAGTAAAAATAATATATAACATATAAATTTGAAAAATGAATGTCAAAATACTTAAACTTAACATGAAATTGGTTTATCATTTGGACAAAAACTCAATAAATATTTTTGGTATCTGGAGTATCATTTAGCTATTTTAAAAATGTGCATTTAACTATTTTATATATTTCTAAGTATTTCGGAAAAAGTTTAAACATCTCATGTATTTTGTATATTCTTAGATGTTAAAATTAATGATAATTAATATATTTAAGTATATAAATCTGGTTCGAGTATACTCTGATACTCGAAATATTTCGATTCAGTTTTTGTTATCTAGATACCAAAATTTCGAATCCGTCTGGATATCGAACCAATTTTGATTAAAAATGTGTACTACTTTTTCGATTAGATTTAGTTCGGTTATTTGGATTCAGTTTTTTTTTGCCCAACCATATATATTTTTTATTATATCAAAACTTTAAAAGAAAGGGATAATGGTTCATGTTGATTTTGGGTATGCAACAATTTTTAAACAAAACACACTCTATTATGCGTGATCCATTTAGTTAATCATTACAAACTGTTTAAGACCTATTAGAAAAACGAATGGTTAAACTAAAAAACGTTATCATTTATCACAAAATTTTCAGTGTGAGATTTTTACCATTTTTAGTAATTTATGGTCGTTTTAGAAAATTCAAAATATAACATATAAGTACAAATCTAAATTTTTTTATCATGTGATTAATGTTATTTTTTATTTTTTAATAATATAAAATTATGTAAAAAGTAAAGAGGATAAAAATTGTTATCAACTCTTTATTATTCACAAACATTAATTGTGAGATATATTTTAATCATATTAAGTAATTTCGTAGTTTTTATTTAAGAAAATAATAAGAAATATTCTTTTGTACACTACTAATTAAATATGATAGTTAGTAGAATAAAAATACACTGAAAATTCTATAAATTAATAATGTTGGGACTACACCAAAATTATAAATTTTTATTAATTTATAGAGATGATTAATTTATCAATATACTAATTGAACCAAAAACTCAATTTGAGACTATAAAATTATATTATTTTATAGAGAATTTTAGAGTATAGTAATTTTTAGAATATTAATTTAAGAAGGTTATATTGTATAACATATGTTTAGTTGGACCAACATATTTCTCTAAGAGTTATGAAAATCATTCTCATTGTGACACGTGGCTACCATTGTAATGCTCCATAATTAATACTTAGGAGATTTAAACTATTAATCAAAAATATTATATGTGAAATTTTTAAATGTTTTATTAATTATTCGTTTTTAAAAATTCAAAATATAACATATATAAAAATCTATTTTTTGTTATACATTTAATGTTATTGTTTAATTTATTTTCATAATATAAATTTAACAAAGATAGTAGAGGCTATAAATTTTTTTTATCAAATCTTCAAATTCAATCATTTATTGTCATATATATATATTATAACTATACTAGGTAATTTCGTAAATTTCATTTAAGGAAATAATGAATAGCATTAATAATAGTTTTATGTTTAGTTTAATAAAAAGTATATTATAGTTTATATGGACCAACATTTTTCTATAGTAAATTTGAGAAGCATTCTTATGATGACATGTGACTACCAAAACATGTTGTAATGCTTCTCAAATAATATATAAGGAATATGAAGGTACGTATGTCATTTACTCATTAGTTAATACATAAATCAAGTAATGAGAGATACCCATCAAGGATTCTTTTGATACAAATAATCTCGAGTTTTTATAATATGGGTTACAATCTAGTATATGAATTTTTAGAAGAAAAAAATTGGTATATAACTAATTAAAAATGATAATTTGTACATAAATATAATGCATCGCTTGAGTGTGGAAATTTGTTACGTGGTATATTTTTACTTGATTAATAATTGTTTGTCATATTTAATATAATAAAAAGGGGTAATTTTTTTTGTCAACCCTTTTGAAAGAGTAAATTAAATTAAGATTTTGAATATTTGGAAAATTATTATTAAGGTTAACTAAAATTTGAACTATATGTTATGAGTACTGTGTCACGAAATTTTGAATTACGTGTTACAAAATTTGATTAAATTTATGTGTTACAAGAATTTAATGGAATATTTTGTAATATATATTTTAAAATATTTTGTAATATATAGTTATAATATTAATTTAAAATTTTAATTCTATTTTAATAAGACAAATGATGAATACTGAGTAACTCGTGTGTGTTTAGTGATTAAATACACTCGTGATGCCTTCCTGTAATCCGTTTGCTATATTTTGAATTCAAGTTTAAAGAGTTTTTAATTTGATGAAACCATTTCATTGAAGAGTGAAGTTAGTGAATGGTTGAGATTTTCCCTATTTATATCACATAAAACCGACATGGTGGTTAGTCATTTATTTAAGAAATATGATTCTAGTCAATCAAATAACTTTTGACTTGTCCTTACTGAAGCATCTAGTTTTGAATTCTTGTCTCGAAAACTATTGTTGCTCATCGTTCATACTTGACTTTATGGTGTAAAGCTAAATCTATTATCTTTCAAGTTTGGCATAAAAACATTTGCTAAAACTTTGAATTGGAGCTGAGAGTTGCTTTAATTTGATGGAATACACGAAAAGGAAACAGCAAATCATTTGAATCCATTAACAAGACTTACACCAAACATAGAGATGTTACTTAAGCAAGCGCTTGTGAGCTGTGGCTGAAACTTGCATCTAATAAGCGTTTTGCAGACCATAGAGTGCTTCCAAACGTGACCATGTAATCAACCGTCTCAAAGAAAACATTGCATCCTCTGCTTTTAAGATCTTCAAAGGCACTGTCGCACAAGACATCTCTAAAGGGTTTGGGGATAACCAAGAAATTAAAGGGCCCATCTAAATGTGACCATTAATCATGTCCATTACCATCACATTGAATTTCCCGAATTGATCACCTTCAGGTGTGAGTCTCACCTCAAGTTCTGACTCCATACAGACCTTGATCACATCATCAGAAGTCTTTCCCTTTTCTACATAGGCTGTCACTGACTCAAAACCAGCATAACCTTTACGCTCAAGAGTTGAACTGAACATGTTAAGAAAACCACATGGCTTAGATGGCAAGTGTCAACCAACCAGTAGATGCGTAACGGATGCGCTGAAAAAAACACAGTTAATGCATTTTGATTAAAGATGAATCAGCCAGCCAGCCAGCCAGCCAGCAAGCAAAATATACTAGAAATCTCTCGGACAAAAGAATTTAACTTACATTTCGGCTTTGGGCTGCACGTCCGACATGGTGGCTTTAGGAGGGTCTGGGAGTTAGGAGGCTGTGGTGGCCTTTTACAAAGCGACTCCAAGCGGTAAATGGCGAACTCATCATCGGAGGGTTTAAAGATAACATTGAAACATCTGCGTTCCAAGGCTTCACTAACAATGTCGATGTCTTTTGAAGGTTGTAAGATAAGCATCAAATTTTCTGCATAATTATCATGGTTCATTGCCCAGAAAAGTATATCCAACAACATCCACAGAGAGAGAGAGAGAGAGAGAGAGAGAGAGAGAGAGAGAGAGAGAGAGAGAGAGAGAGAGAGAGAGAGAGAGAGAGAGAG